TCTCTCTCTCTCTCTCTCTCTCTCTCTCTCTCTCTCTCTCTCTCTCTCTCTCTCTCTCTCTCAATAATGTACTTTTTCTCTTTTAATAATATATTTTCATTTACACTGCTTTTTACTGTTGACATAAATAGAGCCTGCATACAGACTTTCTCTCTACCCATATCAATAATTCAATTTGATACAAAATAATTCACTGCGCATAACAAGAAAGGCATTTCAATGGCAATCACGTGTAGGTCATAAGCGCAACTCTGCATGGACGCTCGCTTTTCTGATTTCCACTCGGTCTCTCCACTTCCGTCTCTTTTCAGAATACGCTTTTTGCAACGTGCGGTAGCGCATAACGAAGGACGCGGTCCAGCGAACGCAAAGCAAAAAAGGGGAAGAAGCGGAACGCGGAGAACGCGCGAAAGAAACGCCGGGATAATTAGAATTCAGTTCGCTTGCGAATTTCATGCCGGGCTCCTTTTCTGTCTGACATTTTCCGCGGAAGTTTCCGACTAATAGGAAAAAAGAAAATGCAGATCGATGTCGACGACGAAGAGGAAGGCGGATAGATCGAGAAAAAAATGGAATGGGAAGACGGACTGAGATGAAAGGAATGAGAGAATGGTCCGTATAATTGGTGCTCGCTATGAAAAGCTGCCGAAAACAAAGGCGACCGAGAGAGAACTACCGGCCGCGAAACTCCCGATGAAGTTGGGATTTCATTTGCAAATCAAAATTCATGTCGTCAGGTGTGCAGGCGGGAAGAATTCGACGAGACGCTTTTAATACTCTTCCCTAGACGAGCGGAGATATCTGCCTTTCATTATTTTACTTTATTCTACATCCCATACATCTCACTGCTTTCCAACTTAGTTATCTCTTTTTAAGTCAACTACGTTGACCTAAAAAGCTGACTTTGTAATCTCAAAGAAACATGCATACGCATGTGAATATATTCTATTTTATATTTTATATATATTCTATTTTTTATCATTGATATCAATATGTAATACTTAATTTTAAAAAATTTTTTAACCTATTATTTACAGAAAAATTAATTTAAAGCCATCAATTAAAAGATATTAATGCCCTTAATGGAATTTTAAAATTGGATTTATTGCCGAAAATACTTTAAAAGTTCAATAATTCTGAAAGTATATATAATAATGGTATTTATTTTAGATAAGTTCTAAATATACTTTGAGATACTTAATATTATTATTAATATATTACACTGTCAATAGTAATTAATGCTGCAGGTATGTGCAAGTAATGGCATCATTCATTCAATCTCTCAACTACTAATTCGATTATCTACACCTTTAAGAAATGCAAGTGCCGATATTATAATACATAACGTTCTATTATCAAGTTTTACATTTATGTGCGACTATAAAAAATTTTTATTTTAAAAATATTTTCTATATTTTGTATTATAAATGGATATGTGTATTTTGCATTTACTATTAATAAAGTTCTTTAGAAAATTAAACTATTTCCTTTGATTGATTCCTTTGATTCCTTTGATTTGTCTATTTGCGTACTCTTCTTTTTCTATTCGTACGATTTTTGTGAGTTCTTTTTTGCGAATTTGTATTCCCAATCAAACGTCTTTTCAAATGGAAGCGCAAACTCGAAAACTTTCGTCGCCTCTTCGGGGAAATTTAATGAGCAGCTATTATTACTCGCGCGCATAGAGTGGCTTTAATCGAATTACGAAGCGGTTCAATAAGGCGCGCTTCGTTCAAGACGCGCGAGTTGTTCGCGCGTTTATCGTATGACTTCTAAAATGAGAGTTCGAGAAGGAATGCCATTTTATCTGTTAGACTGCGGCAATAACGCCTAAGTGCAACGCTTAAGAGATTTGCAAGAAAATGCTTTGAAATCTAAAATAGAAATTAACTAATAAATTTTCAGAAACTTAGGAAAAGAAACGAGACAGTAAGAAACAACATTAGAAAATAAAAATTAATAAAAATATCGATACAATTAAATGTAATATAAACATTACAAATTTTTTATATGTTAAAATAAGAAAGAGATTCCTTAATTCTGTTAAGTTTATGACAAAGATTAGGTAGTGATCAGTTTAAAAATTATTCTAAAGTTGATTTTTGCGCGCCTGAAACTTTATACTTTACTCGAAGAAAAAAGTTAACTAACTCTTTTAAGACAGTTCAATCCTATTTCAGCTTTCTCAGTGACTAATCAGTGAAGAGGAAATCGATTTCTTACATTTAAAATAAACTTTCAATTTTATTTCGACCAAGACAGTATATAAAGAAATAAAATAAATTTTTGCAAGAATAAAGGATTTTATATGATAAAATTTTCATGTCAAATAAAATGTTTATTGTTTGTTCGCAACCTTTCAACTTTCAGCGTAGATTTTTTATTGTTTCGAACTGTAAAAATCTAAAAAAAATTCTTATAAAAACTTTAACACAGATGTTGGATTGTATTTTATTTATTTTGACGGATTTAAATTCATCTACCAGAATTTATAAAAAAACTGACTATATTTTTAAAAGTCCAACATTACCAGCGGAGGAGTAAATTTGTTTCGTGTTTGATCTGATTATGAATTTTTGCGATAGATCTGATTATGAATTTTTCCGATAGATTTTAAACGATATATGAGTACATTCTGATTTATTTCAAATTACATAGATGCGGTTTTCACGAGCAAAATTAAGAACTTCACAAAAATAAGAGAATTTAAAATATTTTTTTATATTTCTGTATATAATGATAATAATCAATATGAAATAAATAGTTCTATACTGATGACAAATTGAACATAATATATCGAAATTATTTCGACTTCAAAAAAATTAATCTTAAAATGGGTCGTGCGAAATAGCGAAAGGAGGTAAAGAAGAAAGTTAAATTGGTGGAATTAAAGTGTGTAGGTGCGGTAGGAAAAGTCAACTCGTTAAGCGGCTCGTTCGTAGGTAAAAGTCGGTTGTTTCGAAAACGACTGAACATTAGAGGAGTCGCACGTCCATAATAGGTTTGTACGCGCCGATCTCGCGAATCGCCGGCTTAAGTGAAATTTCGTCGAGATCCGCAATGTACGATTCTAAGTAATATTATTGCCACAATTTGGCAAAGTCGTTGTGAACTCATATCATTAGAGTCTTGTTAGAATGAGAAGGGCATGACAAAACAAAGGAGAGAAGAACCGTTCTTCGCAGTCTATTCTCACTCCAGTTTTAGCGAAAGCCTGTAAACGAGACGACGATGTACGGTCCTTATGGCTCGGAAAATACAGGGAAATGTACGAGGCGTGCAGTGGAATAACACTTGCTAGGAGTCTCTGGGTAAACTAATTAATTCCGGTGGCGAAGAATCCAAGCTCGGGGTGGAACAAATCACTAAAGTAATTCTCTACTATTCGCAAGCAAGAAGATACGTGTGTATATTAACCATTTCATGTATGCCTTTCAATTACTGTAAAATACATATTTTGTACCAATCATAAATTTTTTAAAATCAATTTACATTATATATTTAATATTTTTTATTTTTTTATCTTAATTAAGTGAAAATAAAAATTTTTTATTACATAAAAATTTATTCGATAACATTAGAAAAAGGAAGATAGTTATTTTTTAAATTTAATTTTCAATTATTAAAAGACTTTCCGCGCACGATTTATATTCAAAATGGAACTTTGAAATTGTTTAATTTTTTTGAACGAAATCATTGTCAAATGGGAAGACTTCATATCGTAATATTGAGGGAACAGTTCGTGTCGGAAGGGAGAGAAGAATTATTAGCTCCCCACGGATTGAGTTATCAAGGTACAAGGAGTAACATTTCTGAAGTTCACTCGTCTCCGGAGTGAGCTAAACCCTTCTTCTGTAGCGCTGCTAGCGAGAGAGTACTTTCCGAGAGTCGTTACGCCGTTTGCGACTCCGCGGATTCTCTCGTTTTGTCGCTAAAATCTGCTCGGAGCTCGCTCGGCTTCGTTACGAAAGTACTTTGTATCGTGAGCTCGTCGAGAACATCCGCCCCGCGAATTGATAGCGTCCGTAAAATGTACGGGTCTGACCTGGTCTGATAAAGGACATTCAGACCGACAGTCAAATTGTGAACTACGCTTTGTTTCCAACTTCATTTTCAGACGCTTTTCTCTTGAAAATGATAAAAACTAGGAAGAGATCTCCTAGTAAATTTAATTCTTCTCATTTGTGAAGAATTAAATTTACTAGAAAAAAATCTTCTCGTTTGTGCAATTT